GGTGAGATTTGAACAGCCGAACTGCAGAACTGCAGTCAGCTGTAGTAGCCTGCAATGCTGCATTTAACCACTGTGCCACCTCGTCTCTTCCCGTGTCCTTCCTGGAGATTTGAAGGGTTGAACAGGACCAGTGGTGGGATTCAACGTTTTTTACTACCGGCTCTGTGGCCATGGCTTGGTGGGTATGGCAGGGGAAGGATACAGTAAAACCTCCATCCCTTCCTCACTCCAGGGAAATGTTACTGCAAAATCCCCATTTTCTCCCGATCAGCAGGGTCTTGGGAGGCAGAGAACAGATGGCGGCAGAGCCAGTCAGAGGTTATATTTACCAGTTCTCCCAACTACTCAAAATTTCTGCTACCGGTTCTCCAGAACTGGTCAGAACCTGCTGAATACCACCTCTGATCAGGACTCTTTTCACCCAAATCTGCTGGCTAGATCATCTTGTGCAGGGGAATAAAAAAAGGAGTGTGGCCTCTCATCTGCCTTCCTAATCGTTGTTGTCCTTCATCCCTAGGTTTGAATTTATCTACCTGGTCCACAGCTGTTTCATCAACTGGGACACGGAGATGTATTATGCAGAGAAGGACACACCTGCCAAAGCTCGGAGCACAAGTCTGAATGACCAGTTGGGGCAGATTGAATATATTTTCTCAGACAAAACAGGCACTCTGACTCAGAATATCATGACTTTCAAGAAATGTTGTATCCACGGAATCATCTACGGTAAGGTTGACCTGGAAATGAATGGATTCAGAAGGCAGGCAAATGTACTGGTCATTTTAGAGTGTTGAGATTTGCAAACACTTGAATTAGTTGGAATAACAGAATACAGAATAACAGACTTGGAAGGGACCTTGTAGGTCATCTAGTCCAACTCCCCCCGCCCCGCCCAAGCAGGGGACCCTACACCATTTCTGACAGATGGCAGTCTAGTCTCGCGCACACGAGAGCCCGAGCAAACCAGTAGTGCCAAGATTTGCAACCCACTTCTGCCCCTAATCATCTTGGTTATAGTTTATAGTTTATAGTTTATTTATTTGTATGCCGCCCTTTTCCCTGAGGGGACTCAGGGCGGCTCACAAGTTAGGGNAACAATAATAACAACAACAACATTTGCTTATCCATTTTAGTGAATCTTCACTTAACAACTATGTTACTAATTTAATGCCTGCAGTGATTCACTTAACAAACGTGGCAAGAAAAGCTATAATCATTTTCTTATGTTTTTAAATTTCTAACTTCTGTTTCTGCTAGTTAGCCATTGATAAAACAAATCCCATGATAAAAAGTATTCAGTTTCTTCCTTCTTAGTTTTAAGTGTTAATCTATCCATTTCTGCACATTCTAATATTTTTTAATTACATTTTCCTATATAGGGATCTCTTCGTTTTCCCACTATTGTTCAAACAGAATTCTAGCTGCTGTTAACACGTGTAAAATTAAATATGTATTCCCTTTATTGTATTTTTTTTGGTAGGATATGCAACAAAAATATTTCTCGGTTTTAGATCTGTGTGTTGCTTTACTATTTTTTCTAACCATGTGTGTATTTTTGTCCAATATTTTTTTGCCTTTGAGCATGTCTACCACATATGATAATACGAACCCAGTATCTGATTGCATTTCCAACATTTTGCGGACCAGGGCTCAGAATTGCCATTGCCAAGGAAGGTGGTTGTTAAGTGAGTTGCATCTGATTTTAGAACCTTTCCCCCCATAGTTGTTAAGTGAATCACTGCAATAGTTAAGGGCATCATGCAGTCATTAAGCAAACCCATCTCCTTCCATTGACTTTGCTCATTGGAAACCTCCTGGGAAGGTTGCAAATGGCTATCCCAGGACCTGAATTTGGGTCACATGACCTTGGGGATACTGCAACAAATGTAAGTGTGAGGACTGGTCTTAAGTCACTTTTTTCATTGTCATTGCAACTTCACCTATCACTAAATGAATGGTTGTAAGTTGAGGATCACCTGTATAGACCAAATTCTACATCAGCCACTTTCCGTATAATTCACATTGTGCCAAGGGCATCAGATTGGGCAAGGCCTGGCATCCTCTTTTTTGATTGAGGTGGAATTTCCCCCCGCTTTTACAGGTAGTCCTCGACTTACAATAGTTCACTTAGTGACCGTTGAAAACGACACTGAAAAAATATGACTTGTGACCATTTTGTCATACTTACGACCGTTGTGGCATCTCCATGCGATTAAAAATTTGGATGCCTCGCAACTGACTCATATTTATGATGGTTGCAGTGTCCTCACATCATGGGATCCCCTTTTGCGACCTTCTGACCAGCAAAGTCAATGGGGGAGCCAGATTCACTTAACAACTATGCTACTAATTTAACGCCTGCAGTGATTCGCTTAACAAATGTGGCAAGAAAAGCCATAACAAATTTCCCACTTAACAACATTCATTTTGTGCTCAATTGTGGTCAGAAGTTGAGGACTAACTATATTTGGAGATGCTGAAGGTTGGTCATAAGTTTTTCCCTCCTTCTTCAAGCTAATCTAACGCCCTTCTTATTGTTCCATGTTTCCTTTAGATCACAGTCACTCTCCTCCTGGTCTCCTTCGGCCTTGCCATTGGCTCAGGGTTATGGGCCACCAGGTTCTTCAAAGAACACAGCTACCTTTTTGCCTTTTACCGCCACACCAGTGCAGTCAGCTATGCCTTCTTTGCGTTCTGGGGATTCCTCATCCTCCTCAGCTTGGTCATCCCCATGTCCATGCTCATCACGTAGGTTTCAACTCTTCCTTTTCTGACTCTAGAGCGGGAGTGGGCAACCGTGGCCCTTTTATGACTTGTGGACTTCGACTCCCAGAATTGGAAACAAATGAGTAATTGGAGCATGTGAACTTGAAGATAAGCCGTACGGACAGATCCTATAGCTAAAGATCTCTCAGCTTTGAATGCATAATGACTAGCATCAGTTCTCTACATCAGTTTGAAAGCAGAATCTATAGCAATAGCAACAGCAGTTAGACTTATATACCGCTTCATAGGGCTTTCAGCCCTCTCTAAGCGGTTTACAGAGTCAGCATATTGCCCCCAANACTGGGTTGATGATCTTTACTATGGGGAATGGTCCCACAAACCTTGGTCCCAGTTTCTTGCTAGGGAGTCTTAACCTCAAATATTTTGTGGAGAGATAAACCTTCTCTCCCACCAGGAATGGTCGTTGCGGAGCTCGTGTTTATCTGCCTGTTTCTTATAGGTTTGTGCTGCAGACATTCTCCCAGGCTGCTTTTAGCATTGACATCCAGTCAGTCAAGCTGACTGAGGAAGGGAGATCCCTCGGATACTCAGGCATTGGGACAAAGTCCATGCCACTCAATACTTTGAACAGTGTTAGACCTGTGCTGCTGTGAACAGGATTATTGTACGCAACCTCAGCGAAGGTCAGAAGATCTGCCCAATTGGACTGCTGATAGTTCACTTAGCACCTTAGGTACTGTTCTATCATAGCATTCAGTCTCTCTGCCCCCCCATTGGTGTTTGGGTGAAAAGCCGAGCTAAGGCCCTGAGATGACCCAATGGACCGCAGAAACTCCCTCCAGAACTTAACCATGAACTGGACCCCTCTGTCTGAGATAATTCTCTGAGGTACTCCATGCAGATGGTAGATGTGCTTCAGGAACAGTTTGGTCAGCTTGTGAGCTGAGGGTAATCCGCTGCAGGGTATGAAGTGTGCCTGTTTGGAGAACAGGTCTATTACAGTCCAAATCACCCTGTTTCCCCCACTTTTCAGCAACTCTACTATAAAGTCCATTGTGATCTCCTCCTACGGTCTTGTTGGCTCTGCTACTGGCTGCAGCAATCCGGGGTTTTTTTCCTGGTGGCCTCTTCATTGTGGCGCAGATGGTGCAACTTTTCACATAACTATCCACATCTTTCTTTATTTTGGGCCACCAGAACTGCCTCCGGGCTAAGTGTAATGTCTTTAGGAATCCAAAGTGGCCTGCTGGTTTGGTGTCATGGCTCCTCTGGAGAATTAGGGTGCATAGGGATTTTGGGACATAGAGTTTCGTCCCCTTCCATGCAAGGTTATCTCTTTTTGTCAAGATGTGTTGGTTGTTTTGGAACCAAGTGTCTGCTAGCAGTTCAGTTTTGAGATGGCTGTCTGTAAAGTCCCCTAACGATGCCTGCTTCATAATAAGCAACCCGATATTGTAGTACAAAAAGCAGTGGTTTATTAACAGCTTCATTAGGGATTTCTTATTTGAAGCCAACTTTTCTGCTTTCTTTATCTGCTTTTAAACTTTGCCCGTGTTT